TTCCCCCCCCCCCCAGCTGTCCTGGCCTCCTTCCCGGCCCCCCCCCCCCCAGGCCTACCCCAGACCCTGCAGGAGCATGCTCCAGGCCTGGGGCCATTTCCATTTGGACTGGTAGGGTCTCTTCTGGGCCATCAAATATTTTTTTTAAATTCACATCAGAACGTTTTTCCCGGCCGGGGTGGGGCCGGGACGGAGCAGGGTCACCTTTGGTCTGTCGGGCTCCCGGGAGTAGGCCGTGTACAGTTCTCTGAAGACCCCCGCGCTCCGGGCCTGCAGGGTCTCCTCCCTGTAGATGTGGTCCACCTTGGACTGCCGGCACCCGAAGACCAGGATCATGGGGCAGGGACTCATTCCTGGGACCAGAAGACCTCATGTCACCCACCGCCTGGTACCTGATTGGTGGTGCCAGGGGTGGGTACTGGGAACCCCAGTGAGTGCCATGCAGCTAGAGCAGTAGTTCTCAACCTTCCCAATTTCTCGGCCCTTTCATACAGTTCCTCATGTTGTGGTGACCCCAATTTCATTGTTACAAATTGAAAATAATTAAAGCATAGTGATTAATCACAAAAACAATATGTAATTATATATGTGTTTTCCGATAGTCTTAGGCGACCCCTGTGAAAGGGTCGTTTGACCCCCAAAGGGGTTGTGACCCACAGGTTGAGAACCGCTGAGCTAGAGGGACATGAACACAGGGGCAGGACACACACACACACAAACACACACACACACACACACACACACACACACACACACACGGAGGTAGGTGAAGTGTGCTCGGACTTTGGCAAGCCTCCCTTCTCTGAGTCTCAATCTTCCCTCCTGACCCCGTGGGAGGGGCTAAGACCCCAGACTTTGGAGCTACACAGCCTGGGTTCCAACCCCAGCTCTGTCTGACAACAAGCAACTTGCTTAACTTTCTCTGTCTCCGTTTCCCCCAGGTACAGAACCGGAAAAACCACAGCAACTGCCTGATAGGGTTACTGTTAGACATGAATGTCAGACCCCAGAACGGTGCCTGGTAGAAAGCGAATACAGTACAAATGTTAGCTATTCTACGCGAGCGACAGTTCCACAGGGGCGGGTGTTTTTTCTAGGTTGTTTCTGTCTTGGTCACTGGTATGCCTCCAGCGCCTAACGCAGTGTTCGGCATTTACCAGATGCTCATTAAATCCCTGTCTGATGCCAACACTGTGGCTCTCTCCTCTGAGGAATCCCATCAACACGCCACTTGAGAAGGCTTCATGTTTACCCTCCAGGGCTGAATTGTAAGGAGGGTCCGATCTTAACCGCCCAAGAGATGGGGCTTTCGGGCCCAAGCATAAGCCGAGGGGAAGATTCGTTCGGGCAGGTCCTGGGCATGGCACCAGGGGTCGGGTCAGAGCCATGCTCCCCAGCCCCCCCAGGCGGCGAGGCTCTGGAGAGATAACGGTCACCCCGTGGCTACTGGGCCAGGACCCACCTTTGTGCTGGATATCAAACTGCCGCTGCTGCCAGAAGCTTCGGAATGGGGCGATGCCGGTGCCCGGGCCGATCAGGATGCAGGGCACTTGGGGGTTTCGGGGCAGGTGGAAGCCGGGCGCTCTGGACAAGGAAGAGGAGGTCAAAAGGCTTGCTGGGTCAACTGTGACGAAGAATAGCTGGGTCACCCTGGCCAGTGTGCTCGGTGGTTAGAGCGCCGGCACGCACACCGAAGGATCATGGGTTCAAGTCCTGGTCAAGTACCTGGGTTGCAGGTTTGGTCCCTGACCCTGGTCGTGGCGAGTGTGGGAGGCAACCAATCAGTGTGTGTGTGTGTGTGTGTGTGTGTGTGTGTGTGTGTGTCTTCATCTCTCCCCTCTCCCTTTCACTCTCTTAAAAATCAATGGAAAAAAATATCCTTGGGCGAGGATTAACAACACAGAACAGTTGGGTCTTAGGGAGACCAGGGCCATCTTGGGTAGAATACAATAGGACCTGCAGCTCTTCGGCCTCGCCAGGTGCCCCCGTCAGGGTGGGAGGTCCCACAGATTGGGGGAGTCCCCAGTCTGCCTATCCCTCCATTTCCCAAATGAGCCCCGTTGCTGAGCCACAAAGGGCAGTGGGGTTTCCTACCTCAGCTCTACCGACATTCGGGGTCGCATACTTCCCTGTGGTGGGTCCATCCTGTACATGGGAGGCTATTGAGCTCCAGCAGTGACAGCCAAAGACATCTCCAGAATCGCCAAATATAACGCCCCCCACCCCCTACCCCCATTGAGAACCGCTGATTTCACCTCCCATGAGAGCTCCTATTACCAAGGAGCCACCGACTCCAGGGGACAAAAGCATCACCTGGGGGTGTTAAAAGGGGTGCAGGTTTCTGAGGGGTCAGTCAGTCTGGGATAGGATTCTATTCCTCTCTCTCTCTCTCTCTCTCTCTCTCTCTCTCTCTCATAATCCTCACCTGAGTATATTTTCCCATTGATTTTTAGAGGGAGTGTAAGGAAGGGGGAGACAGAAACACATCGATTGACTGCCTCCTGCATAGGCCCGACCAGGGCCAGGGATGGAACCTGCAACTGAGGTACGTGCCCTTGACTGGAATCGAGTGCGCAGGCCGACGCTCCATCCACTGAGCCAAACCGGCCAGGGCTGGGACTCTATTTCTGAAGCACCCTGAAGGTATGGGGACCATCCCATCAACAGTCTAGCAAAGTGGCGGGCCAAGGCCTCTGTACAGGGAGAGAAGTTATTGACAAAGCAGACACTTACATTGGGCCTAAGCTCAGGCATGCCCTTTGTTTGTAAATTTTTTTAAAGTAATATTTTTTATTTGGTTGACTGATTGTGATAAGAACACTTAACATGAAATCTACCCTCTTAACAGATTTTTAAGTGCACAAGGCGGTACTGGAATCACAGGCAGGAATGTCCTTTACAACGGAGTTGGGAGAAGGCTCTGATTGATGGTGGCGAGAGATGCTTGGATCTCCCGTTTCTAAGAAACTGGGGACAGCGGGGTGTCCTCTAGAATTTGGACAGAGCCTCCCCTGGTCTGCAAACACCGTGGAGGCCAAGCCTGCGTCGTGGCTCTCCTGCAGCCGCCGCATTGAGCTGAGGACATGCACTGGGTCCATGCCGCTGGCTGAGGGCTTTCTTAGCTTCTGCGGGTCCTGTCTCGTGATCCCGCTGCCTTAACAACTGGGAGGGACGCGGAATGCCGAGCCCGTCTGATCCAGCCCTCTCTCTAGAACCCTTTGGGCTGGTCCACCCACTGCAGCTCCGGAGAGCAGTGTGCAGACTGGGGGTGGCTGCTCACTGCTCTTCCTTCGCACTCACCCTCTCACGAAACAGGGGACCACTTCGTCGGACTGTATCTGGTTGAGCCAGGAGGAGCACACGCCGTGGTGAACTGGGCCTTCTCCATCTAGCAGAATAAACAAGGCGGCCTGGCTCACCTCCTGTCCCTGAGCTTCCGGTCATTGGTACCCCCTCCCTTCAGTCCAGCAGGCCCCCGCCCCAATGCTGAGCATCTGCCTTGCAGCTCCTGGTCTGGATCCCTTCCTCTGACGGGGAAGAGGAAGTGGTACAGCTGGGGCAGCCTGTGAGCTGTGAAAGTGCCCAGGGTGCTGCCGGGGAGGGGTGAGTTGGATTCAAATCCTGCCACGGAAAGGGCTTTGGTCAGTGTGTTCTCCGTGGGCTGCCGGGATCCCAGTCTCAGAGAACTCTCCAGCACCGTGCATTCTGATTGCTTGATCAAGGAGGGAAAGTACGGGAGGAAAATGTCCAGTTATCTTATCTGACTGACCTAGGACCAGGGGACACCTGCAGCCAGGACCCTC